ACTCCTTTCCTTGCCTGCTGGTCACTTGGCATAAGGAGCCCAAAGATACTGGAGGCCACTGAATCATAAAGTTTAATGAAAATCCTATTGCATCCCCTAAAATAAGGCTTCCTCTCCTAAATACCAAGACCTGTAGTTCCATTATGGGGATCAAAGCACAAATCCCCCAAGTGGATCAATAGGATTAATAATAAGGGGGGCCATTCCTACTTCTCCCTCTTACTTCCTAGATCCATAAATCACACCTATTAGGGCTACAGTACCATATAATCATTGTTAATTTAGAGTATGTACATCCTAACCAGTTACTGACTTAAAAAAAAAAAAAATAGAGTATGTACAATGTCCCGGAGGGTGGCATCCTGCCCTTACAAAATATTATCTTCAAACTGGTGTATTAGCTGTACCATTAACAGGCCCTTTTCTCCCATTTCTCTGCTCTATCATGACAACAGCTTCTGGGTAGTACAGCCTGTGATGGAACCAGAGCATCCTGTGGTCACATACTCACTGTCATGTCTCATTTGCTGTAAAGGGGGTCTCTCTGTCTCAGGTGACATTATGTGAGATCCCACACTAGTGGATCAAATGCTCTGTAAGCTCTCACTAAGGTAGTGATGCTAGCTGAGGCCTAGTGGACAGAAAAGGTAAACCCATATCATAAATATATATTGGTCCCAGTTGAGATGAATCGTTACCCTTTCCAGGATGGAAATCAACTTGCTACCAAGTGAGTGATTGATCTCCTTGAGGAATGGTGTCACATTGGGAGTTTAGCACTGATCTCTGTTAAGGAGCGGTTGGACATTCAGCAGTCCCAGTAGTAAGATCAGCCTTAGTGAGACAGAACCTATGCTACTGGGTCCACGAATAATCTCCATCACTGCCACTGTGGCTACTCCATTCACACACCTAATGTGGCATTGTGCCAGCATTGAAGTGGCCAGTGACAGAAGATGGCTGATGTCAACTGACAGTCATTTTGTCTACTTGGTTGTTTAGTGCCTCTTCTGTGATAATGCTCTCTGGTGGATATTTATGTGTGATACAAAGATCCTCACAGTTTGCACCCACCTCCATAGGTCCCTCCACATTCCTCTTCCCCAGAACTCTTTGTCCCTGATCTTCTAATCTTTCTCCTTCCAGGACCCTGACCAATCAGTCTGGCCATTTGCCACTGCCCTTGAGACTGTGTATTTTCTTACTTTAGGCCACTTCTCTTTCTGCACAGGTGCATCATCCAGATTGCTACCCACTGAGAGGATTTTGCCTCACTTCTGTCTTTCAGGGCCAACTCCAAGTGGGGCTATAGTGTGGCAGCAATCCATTTTTGGGTTGCACCAACATACCGAGTTGACCCATGGTGAATCAAGCCTTTGTCCTTATCCTTCAGCTGGTCATAAAGGACCTCCAAAATGTGGTCATTTGAGGCCAGCTAGGGAAAGATGCTGGTGTAACAGTGGTGAATGACAAGGGCATCTATGCCACCTGTTTGTGCATCTTACTTGTGCCCAATGCTCCTACTGATACCTAATCCAAGAGTACCATTCTCATCATGAAATAGATTACTGCTGGGCCAGAACTTATGATTTGGTAAATCTTACAGTTCCAGTTCATCATGGGCAGTTCTGGTCACATGGTCACTTGATATCCTATATATAAATGCTCCATTTCTGCCAGGGCCCAGTAACATGCAGGGAGCTGCTTCCTGAATGGCATGGCATAGCCTTGCTCCACCATCTACATTGTGATTCTTCTACTAGGGATTTCCATAAACTCCGTCCAGCATCTTTTCCCACAACACTCATCTCAAATACCTGACCATATAGCACAAGCTACAGGGCTGCTTGCACTACAGCCTGGACTTGCTGCAGAGTTCTTTTCTGCTCTGATATCCACCCAAAACTGGCAGCCTTCTATTTCACCCAATGGGTATTTCCAAGTGCATAACATGCTGCCCCAAGACCCTGAGGAGGCTTACCAAACACAGTGCTCCTTTCTTGGTGATGAGATGTATGAAATGCAATTTGTCCTTTACTTTGTAGGTGGATATCCCAGCATGCCCTGGCCTACTGGATTCCTAAAACCTTCACTAATATGGCAGGTCCCTAATTTTCACAGGGTCTATCTCCCACTCCCTGGAGTTCATGTGTATTATCAAGACCTCCAACATATTTGCCATTTCTTGCTTATATGGTCTGATTAATGTGATGCTATCAACATGGTGCATCCATGAGCTGTTTTACAGAATGTCAAAATGGTCTAGAGCCCTTCAGATTATAAGAGAGGTTGGGAAAGTTAACTTACCCCTGGAACAAGACCATTCATGTCTACTATTGTCCATCCACATGAATGCAAGACATTAGAGATAGAAAACAATGCATTTGCCAGAACCATGGACACCTACCATGTGCTGGAACAAAGATAGAACACTGGGCAAAGCAGCTGGAATTGAGGCTACTTCTTGATTAAGTGGCCCCAATTTGCCATGATTCATCCAGTTATTTTTAGGGGCCAGACTAGTGAATTAAATGGAGATATGTTGGGGACTACAAACCTTGCATTCTTTTTTTTTTTTTTTTTTTTTTTTTTTTTTTGAGACAGAGTATCGCTTTGTTGTCCAGGCTAGAGTGAGTGTCGTGGCGTCAGCCTAGCTCACAGCAACCTCAAACTCCTGGGCTTGAGTGATCCTTCTGCCTCAGCCTCCCGAGTAGCTGGGACTACAGGCATGCGCCACCATGCCCGGCTAATTTTTTATATATATATCAGTTGGCCAATTAATTTCTTTGTATTTATAGTAGAGACGGGGTCTCGCTCTTGCTCAGGCTGGTTTTGAACTCCTGACCTTGAGCAATCCGCCCGCCTCGGCCTCCCAAGAGCTAGGATTACAGGCGTGAGCCACAGCGCCCAGCCAACCTTGCATTCTTTATGTCATTGAGTATGGCCCTAATCTTACCCATCACTCCAGGGTGCAATACTGTTGATGATTTACTATCTTGGCTTGGTGTATGAGGGGGGCATTTCACAGGCCTCCACTTTGTCTTCCCCACTGTGGTAGACTTAGTCTATAGGCCAAGAAACCAATACGGATGGGTGTTCTAACCACTAAGTCTGTCCATTCCAATTAGGCATTCAGGGACCAAAGAAATGACCATTGGGTAGGTTTATGAACCCAATGGAACCACCATCAGTCAGACTTGGGACAGGACTCCATTTATAACCTGGCCCCCATGTGCTTTCCATTCTAATAGGGGGCCCATGGTGGAATTTTGTCTCCCTGGTATCAATGTTCATACCAGCAGTCCATGAAGGATCTGGGTAGTCTCATTTTTCCAATGCTCTTTACTCAAGTCATCAGCCATAGGAATCTTTGGAAAAGGAATGATCCTCAACCAGTGAGGGGTTGGAGTTAATGAATAAGTACTCCAGCTCCTGAGAGAACAATTCTGGTCAACACTGTCTCCTAGAGAGTCCCCTAGTGGGATTGTGCCCCAGTTTCCCACAGAAATAATTCACTATTTAAGACTAATGGATGGCCAGGCGCAGTGACTCACACTTGTAATCCTAGCACTCTGGGAGGCCGAGGCAGGAGGATTGCTCAAGGTCAGGAGTTCAAAACCAGCCTGAGTGAGAACGTCAAGAATCGTCTACTAAAACAGAAAGAAATTAATTGACCAACTAAAATATATATATATACAAAAAATTAGCCGGACATACTGGCACCTGCCTGTAGTCCCAGCTACTCGGGAGGCTGAGGCAGTAGAATCGCTTGAGCCTAGGAGATTGAGGTTTCTGTGAGCTAGGCTGATACCACTGCACTCATTCTAGCCTGGGCAAGAAAGTGAGACTTGTCTCAAAAAAAAAAAAAAAAAAAAGACTAATGGATAAAGAGAATGTGGTGTTAGTGTGGAGATATATATATATATACTAACTACTACCTATTATACATATATAACTGGAATACTATTCAGCCATTAAAAAGAATGAAATCCTTTAAACTACAACAACATGGATAAATCTGGAAGACATTATGTTAAGTAGAATAAGCTAGGCACAGAGAGACAAAGACAAATACAGCATGATCTCAACTCATATGTGGAAGCTAAAAAAGTTGATCTCATGAAAGTAGAGAATAGAACAGCAGTTACAGAGGCTAGAAAGGGTAGGGGAGAGGTGGGATAAAGAGAGGTTAGTCAACAGATACAAAATTACAGCTAAATAGGAAGAATAAGTTCTAGTGTTCTATAGCACAGTAGGGTGACTATAGTTAACAATAATGTATTGTATATTTTCAAATAGCCAGAAGAGAGGATGTTGAATGTTCTCAACACAAAAGAATTATAAAGGTTTGATGTGGTAGATATGCTAATTACCATGATTTGATCATTATACATTATATACACGTATCAAGATATCACACTGTACCTCATAAACATGTATAATTATCATGCATCAATTAAAGTTTTCAAAGGTATGAGATGAAAAATAAAGCCTTTTTATAGAAAAAAAAGAAGTAACCCACAATTTATTGCACCCTTTCTTGGCAATCCCTCCCTTCCATGTCTCACTTCCCCACTGTCCCTCTTGGGATCTCTTCCAAAGTAAACCACTTGCACCCACACCCTTGTCTCAGGGTCTGCTTCGGGGGGAACCCACACTAAGACAACAGCGCAGAAATAAAGCGACCTGAGAAGTCATTCTATGTTTTCTTGACCTTCAGGCACTTCCAGCCTCCAAACTTCCCAGGCAGAGGAGAGACTGGTCTGTTTGCTCAGCTATGTAGAGAAGATTCCGCAGCCTCCATGGGAACCCAGTCTAATGTCTAACTCTCATTGTCAGACTTTTGCTTTTTTCCTTTTTTTTTTTCCTTTTTCCTCAATTCTCAATCCCTCCTGCTGGAATTTAACACCACTTCCTCATCTTATGATTTTTTTACTTTTCCAGAGAAATGGACAGTAGCTGACCACCAACTTCAGGGTAAGGGCCCCTTATGTACTTACACGTGAGTATTAATCTTTACTTCTCCAGGCTGAATTATCCAGGTTCTTTTTAAGATTGCCCATCAGTCCCGTTTTCCAGGCTTTCAATCAGCTCCGTGGCTGTAAGCTGTCAACCCCAGCTGCTCACCGTAGACCGGCCCACAGGCTCCTGGAGACCACCAGATGCAGGTTTAACCCGGAGAAGTTCACAGGCGGGAGGTCCCCCAGCTGCTGTAAATCACCCTCCCCCCTGCCTCCTCCCCAAAGCCGGAGAACAAGCCCCAGCTTGCTGTGAAGGCTATAAAACTTCTCTTCTTTAAAGGGCCCCTTTGTTGGGCATGTTCATTGTAGCAAGCGTGCAAGTCCACCAAGGGCCCATAAAATTTCGCCAGGCTTTGTGCCAGTGACCCCACAGGCCCGCGCCTCAGCAATCCCACCCTTAAGCCCACAATGAAACTGTTGCTGGCTTCACCCAGAAACGGACCGGCCTCAATTTGCCTTGTGATTTGTTTGTTAGCTTTACAAATGGCCTTTGAGGCCAGACAACCCCTCCTAACCCCGAATACTTGATCAGTGGGAGCTCAGGGACTGTCTGGGGAACTTCAAGGGCCCTTGGGTCTCCATGGAGATTTCAAAACAATTCACTTCAGGGGAAAAGCTGCCACTGCCGCAGAAGGGTGAGCTGGCAAGCATTCGGACACAGCTGGGCTGTCCTCGCTCAGGTCGGCAAAGGTGTTTCGCCTCTTGCACTCACCAGCATCGTGCAGGGCCCTGCTCCCTGAGAAGCCCAAGAAGCTCCAGACACCCTTGTCTGCTCCCTGATGCTGAATCCACTCCAGCAATCCACCAGCCTTGGGAAAGTAAAGTCCAAGCAAAGCTGATCAGCAGGAAGATAACACTTATTTCATACATAGCTTAGTGGTTAAGAGCATAGGCTTCAAACCACCTAACTGTCCATCAACAGAATGGATATTCATACAATGGGAATGTAAAACAATAAAGTATGTCTGGGCACGGTGGCTCACACCTGTAATCCTAGCACTCTGGAAGGCCAAGGCAGGAGGATCCCTTGAGGTCAGGGGTTCGAGACCAGCCTGAGCAAGAGCAAGACCCTGTCTCTACTAAAAATAGAAAGAATTAGCCAGGCATGGTGGCGCATGCCTGTAGTCCCAGCTACTCGGGAGGCTGAGGCAGCAGGATCGCTTGAGCCCAGGAGTTTGAGGTTGCTGTGAGCTAGGCTGACGCCGTGGCACTCTAGCCCAGGCAACAGTGAGACTGTATATAGAAAAGTATGTAGAAAACTAAGAAAACAAAAAGGCAGATGACTATTAAATCCAGAGGAAGGATGGTGCAAGAAAAAATAATAGCAACTATAATTCACTACATGAATCAACTACATAAAACTCTTACAAAACACTAAAACATTTAGCAAGATGAACACTGAATAGTGAGCCAATTAAAAGTACAATATAACTATATTAGGAGCACCAGGGAAGAGAAGGACACAGGTGTGTGGAAAGGGAAAGAGGAGAAATGAAAAGAATTTAAAGAAAAAAGAACAAATTAATGGATTAAGAATGATGTTCTAATATGATCAATATATGTGAAAGGTATTTTAGTCCATTCAAGATTTTAACTCGTTAAGAAAAAAAGATATAGGGATAATATTTTAAGAGAGTAGCAACTTGAGGATTTGAGGTAAGCTCAGGGTCATCTGGACAAGGCAATATTTCCATCAGAGGGAAAGCTGCAGTGTTCTAAGAGGCATAGAATTTTCTAGCAGGTGAAAAATAAAATTCTGTATTTTATTTTTTCTGTATTTATGAAAAATAAAATTGTGTATTTTACTTTGCGGAGGTAAAAACAAATAGTAAATAAATGCAAAGGCATCTGCCTGTGTCAAATATGTGGCAAAGACAAAATGGCATGCAGGTGGCAGTGTGTTTAGGAGGGCATTTGACATCATTCATTCCCCAAGCTCACCAGATCCAATGCTGGGCACGCCCACATCAGCTGACATTATGACTAAGGACCTGTAACAAAATGGGAGCTAGTCAGCCCTGGATTGGTTGATTTTCAATCATTTCCTGTGGTCAAAGTTGGAGGTTGATTTCTTAATATGACCATAATAAACTTTCCATTTATAAGCTGCTTTATAACTTTCAGAGTGCTTTCACATGCATTAACTAATTTGATCTTTCACATTAATCCTTCAAACAGGAAGTGAGTCATTGTTTTCATTTACCGTGGAAGCTGAAGCTCAGAGAGGTTTAGTGACATACATTTGGTCACACAGTAAACTGGAGGCAGGACCAATGTTAGAACCAATATGTATTAGGTTGCTATGGCTATATAACAGATTAGCACAAACTTAGCAATTTACAACAACACCCATTTCTTAGCTCATAGCTCTGCAGCTCAGAAGTCGAGGAACAGCATGACTGGATTCTCAGCTCAGGCTCTCACAAGGCTGAAATCCACAAGGTGGCAGCCAGGGCTGCGACCTCAGCTGGAGGTCAGGATCTTCTTTCAAGCTCATTCAGGTTATTGGCAGAATTCAGTTCCTTGGAACTGTAGGACTGAGTGCCCGTTTTCTTGCTTGCTGTCAGCCAGGGTCACTCAGGTCCTAGGGGCCACTTTTAGATCCTTACCTCGAGCGAGGCCCCCACCACCTTCAAAGCCAGCAGCACAGAATCTCCCTGACATCAAATGTCTCTCATGTGTTGAATCCCTTGTGTTTTTTAATTTACTTGTTTACTTATTTATTTTTGAGACAGAGTCCAACTCTATTGCCTGGGCTAGAGTGCCATGGAGTCAGCCTAGCTCACAGCAACCTCAAACTCCTGGGCTCAAGTGATCCTGCAGCCCCAGCCTCCCGAGTAGCTGGGACTACAGGCATGCGCCACCATGCCCGGCTGATTTTTTCTTTTTCTTATTTTAGTTGCCTAGCTAATTTCTTTCTATTTTTAGTAGAGACTAAAAATAGAAAGTAAAGAGTAAACTCACTCTTGCTGAGGCTGGTCTCAAACTCTTGACCTCAAGTGATCCTCCCACCTCGGCCTCCCAGAGTGCTAAGATTACAGGCGTGAGCCACTGTGTCTGTCCTCTTGAATCCCTTGCTTTAGGAAAAGCCCGGTCCTCTTTAAGGATTCACCTGATTAGGTCGGGCCCACCCAAGGTAGTTGCCCTTTCTTAAAGTCAATTGGGCAATAGGGCACAACCTAATCATAAGAGCGGTGTGCCATCGTATTCATAAGTCCCGCCCACACTCAAGGGGAAGGGATACAGCACGTACCTCTGTGGGTAGGAATCTTGGGGGCCATCTCAGAATTCTGCCAACCACACAGAGTGTGCTAACCCCCAAGCTAGAGCTTCATTCACCGAGACTATAGCATTCTCCAAGCTGTAGCGAGGGCTTCCTTGACCACTCATTTTGAAAGTTCCATGCCCATCCTAGGTTATGAAAAAAAAATACGTATCATAAAATCTGCTTTAAGGGATGCCTTTGGGCTGCTGTGTTGTAGGTATGCTATCGAGATTGTGGAATATGACTGTTTCAGCTCACATCACAGCAAAGATTTGTATTATAATATTAGCTGGGGTCCCATTTGTTCATTACAAATTTTGATAGCCTAATTTTCTCAAAAGATCATTCACCAAAGATAAGCCAGTTACAAAAAGAAGTACTGTATGATTCCACTTAGATATCTAGAGTAGTCAAATTCATAAAAACTGAAAGTAGAATGGTGGCTGCCAGGTGCTGGGGGGAGAGGGCAAGGGGGAGCTACAGTTTGATGTGTACAAAATTGCAATTTTGCAAGATGAAAAAGTTCTGGAGATCTGTTGCATAACAGTGTGAATATACTTAACACTGCTGAATTATATACATTTAACAATGGTTAAGGTGATACAATTTATGTTATGTGGGATTTTTTTTTACCACAATTAAAAAGGAAAAAAGAAAAGAAATCTTCATCAAAGCTTTATGTGATGTGAAGTATGAAAGAGCTCTTCAAAGCAAACTTGGGATCAGGAAAAGTTACTAGAGTTGTAGTGGATATGATGGATTTGCTCTTTTGACATCCATCCCACCTTCTTTCTCTGTGCCTTCCTCTACAGCAGAGCCTGGAAAGCTAAAATCTACACTTGCCAGACTCCCTTGCAGCTAGGATTCTGGGTTTAAATTAGAGCCTACAAATTAGATGCTCTTTCAGATGGTATGGAAGGTGGGGTGAGATGGAACCTACATCCCATTGACAAGCATGGTTGTAGGGCCAGTGAGTTTCTGCAGCAGTTTTCCAGTGTTCAACACTAGCCTCATGAGTGTCAATCGGCAAGTGCAGCAATAGCATAAATGTCCTCCTGATCCCTGGATCCCAGCTGAAGCAACATGCTCTTGAAGTCACCAGTCCTGATAGAGCCTTCTAATTCCCACCTTCCTTTTTGAAATAGGGGTAGGCCCTTGGTAGGCCAATAGTTCTGTTCTGTCATTCTAAGAGTCATTTCTGGGAGCCAGCCCAAAGCCCAATTCTCTCCTCCTTATATCAATTTTGCAAATACCCAATTGCAATAGACTGAATGTTTTTGTCCCCCCCAAAACTCTGATGTTGAAATCCTAGCCCACAAAGTGATGGTATTAGGAGGTGAGGTCTTTGGGATGTGATTAGGTCATGAAGGCAAAACCCTCATGAGTGGGATTAGTGCCCTTTATAAAAGGGACCCCAGAGAACTCCCTTGCCCCTTCTTCCACATGAGGACACAGTGAGAAGATGGCTGTCTATGAACCAGGAAGTGGGCCCTCACCAGATGCTGCAGAAGCCTTGATCTTGGACTTTCCAGCCTCCTGAACTGTGAGAAATAAATTTCTATTGTTTATAAGCAAGCTTATTTGTGGTACTTTTTGTTATAGCAGCCTGAATGGACTAAGACACGATATCCTGAATTAAATCCCTTTCTGCTTAAAATAGCTGGAGTGATTTCTGTTTGCTGTAATGGACCCTTGAGTGTTAGTCATACGCGATGCCCAGACCAGTGGACTCTATTTGGAATTTGATCATTCCATCTTGCAAGATTTTGGTGGCATCTGATAGAGATCAGTATCGTTGACTTTTTCCAGGGCTGTGCTGCCATCTTACATGGGGTCTCACACCCCAGCTGGGCCCTACTGCTGTTGGGCAACGCTCTGTTTCCCTCCTTTCTCTTCCATGGCTATTCAAAAACTTTTTCCTCTGCTTGAGCTGCATACCTCATTGTAGCAGACCCTAGGGCTGTCCACTCAAGACACCCCCCCACACACACACACATCTTTTCTGCTAACTGAACCCAATTTTGTTTGGATATTAGGCCAAGATCTCTTAACTATGATGGGCTTGCACCCCCATTCTGGCTAATAAGAAGTCTCTGGGAGGCTCCTGATTAGAATTTCTCTTCCTAATAACAAGTGAGAGCAGTGGGGAGAAGTCTTCTCACTGCCTGACTATCCATGACCTCCTCTCCTAAATAGGCACTCGATGCCTGGAGCTACAGCA